TGGAAAATTTCCCACATAACCTGAGGATGCCAATGTGACTTGAGTCAGCGTGTACTCTGATCTGGCTCTGTTTTATCTCTAGTTCATGTGTGGAATGCTGCAGGAATAAGAGCCAACACTCGCTCAGGAACTCTTGGGCCCAACATGCGCCAGGCAAACTCTGCTGTGGATGCTATAGTTGGAGACACAGAAAATCCAGGCAGAGCTCTATGCACATGGGGTTTATGTTTCAGTGGGGGTAGTTCAGACAACCAGAAACAAACACTGCACAAGGAAAGGGTTCTTTCCCCAAAGTAGTTTAAAATGGTATCCTGTGGCAGGGACTGCATAGACTACATCCTTAGGCAGGGTGCTCAGAGACAGGGTGGTCTGTCCACTTAGCTGGGGACCTGATGTTAGAGTGAGGCTATCCACAAAGATACTGGCCAGGGCCTATGGCTGGGGTAGTCAGAGAATTCAAGGACCCCAGAGGCTAACGGGGCTGATGTGGCAAAGAACAAAAAAAAAAGTCAGTGTGTTAAAGCAGAACACCACCAGAGTCCACCAAGAGAGATGTTTGTCCAGCAGGAGGCAGATCCCAGTATCCTTCTTAGGGCTGGCAATGAACTAGAGAAATGATAGTCTATGCCTGGGCCAGCAAGAGTGTGTTGTGAATTCTGGTGTGGAAAGCCTATACTAGAAACTCTATGGGGATGGATCATAACAAAAGAAACACCCAGGCTTATACTTAGCCTGTCTCTGAAACCAAAATGTTATTGAATGTCAACCCATTTGGTGATCAATGAAGATCTTTGGAGATTAGGATCAAGAATGCAAACTGGTACAGACACTGTGGAAACCAGCATGGATGTTCCTCAAAACATTAACTATATAACCACCATGGGATCCATCTATCTACAGCAGCAGGAAATGACTCCAAGTCACCATAACTCAGAGATACCCTCATGTCCATGTTTGCTAGTCACTAGTTGCAATAGTCAAGCTATCAAACCAACCTAGGTGTTAACTTAAAAAACAAGAAGCCCATTAAGAATGTGGTATAGTTGTCACAGAAGTCTCTTTTTGCAGTAGATGGCAATTAACATAAAGAATCACAACTGTTCATGGCGCATGGAATAAGACTATGAAATGCTCTGTCCTATGTGAGACATCTGTGCCATACCACTCCTCAGGAATTACTGTGGAAGATAACTAGAAAGGCTGCAAGAGTCCTAAGTGGTGGATGACTATAGAAAACAGTGTTTTTTAGGTGCATATGAATTCACAGCAGTTGAGACAGCATGCACAAGCTCAAAAAACAAAACAAAACAAAACAAAAAAACTTCCAGAATGAAGTCCTTCCCAAATAGTACCACCCACTGGGGACCAAGTGTTCAAATCATAAGTGCCTGGGGTACATTTCTCACTCAAGCCACATCTGGGTTCCCCCTAAGTCAATAGAAAAGAATACCTTTTCTTTAAAGAAAATAAGATACATTGAGGCTGGAGAGATGGCTCAGTAGTTGAGTGCACTTTCTTCACAACCGTGAGGACCTGAGTTAAATCCCAGCATCATATAAAAATCTGGGAATGGTCTCAGGCATTCCTGTAACTCCAACACTGGGGGATTTACACAGGGAAATCACTGAGACTTGATGTCTGCCAGCCTAGTCAAAAATTTGAGCCACAGGCTCAGGAAAAGTCCTTGCCTTAAAGGAAAAAGCAGAGTAATAAAAGAGGACACTTGATGTACACAAATGCACAAACCATGATCACTTGAACATAAACACATAGTTTTAAAATAGAATACCTTATACACTGATGTAATAATGAATGACCATGGTCCAGGAGCACAAACTCAATTATGTAGATACTGAGCCATGTGGTTTCATGGAAGAAGTGGCATGAGCCCTGTAGCCACAGAAGTACAATAAATCAATGCATTTATTGAACATACTGGCAGCAGCTTAAGGTAAGTGGGACTCAGCAGAACAAGGTCTCTCTCCCATAGATGGAGGTGTTATAGCATTCTTGGCTTTAGAATTGATGTGGACTGATGACCCGCTAAACACAACAGTTCTAAAAACTACAGCTCACAGCCACATAAACATTAGGTCAGATACAGAAGTTGAGAATAAATGTCTTTTAAAGGCACCAAGGTGGTCAGAGATAACTTTGGCTCGCAACCTACAATGCACCATCATAAAATTACCACATTCTAGTCAGCCAAGGTCAACAGTCTTTAGGTGCCTAATAAAGATGTAGTTTCTTTAAGGGCTTCAGTACAAATCAGTGTTAGTAGGCAAGTGGCTAAGGTTAATCCCATGCAAGGAGCTCCAAGAAAATGCAAGTTGTAGAACCATTCTGACCAGGGTTAGGACACTGACAAAGGCCAGGGCACTGCAGTGAGGGGAGCCTGGCCTCCACAGCTCTGGCAAAAGCCTTTGTAAACAAGAGCATCCCCACCGATACTCAAACAGGATTGCTGTCTACAGCAGCAAGAAGGGCTGGAACGGCAGGTGTACAAAGGTGAAATCCCCTGTGTAAAATATTAGTGTGCAATTTCTACAACACTCCAGTTGCCCTGAGTCTCCTTCTAAAAATATTCTTATTTTATAAACCCCAATTGAGACATTTTAAAGCAAGATAAAGTGTTTGGTATGACTAGACGCCATGAACTCTCCTACCAGAGACAAAAGCAATTCATTCAGGACAGAGGATACTTCAACCTGGTCACCCCCAGGAACATACCCTTTGGGGGGTTTAGTTTTGTTTTGCTGTTGTTTTGTTCTGCTGCATTTTCTGCTTTTCCAGTACATCTAAGCAAGCCAGCAATTCTACAGCAGACTTGATGCTCTAAAAGAACTTGCTATCACATTTAAGTCCTTTGTCTCACTCTGTATAGCTCTCAGCATCAGCTACTGATAAGTCAGCTTTGATCTAACACAGACTTCTGAGCAGACTGTCACCTAAAAGAGGCACTCCAGCCAGACCACACATCTCCTGTGTTAAGCCATGGCTCTGCACACGTTGGAGCTGAGCTCTGTCACTGTGATAACCTAAGGTTCTGAATACCTGATCTCATGGGCTTCTTGGAGGCATGTGTCAAAGGACACAGGCTCAGCAACACCCCCAGCTAAAGGAATAAATCAACTGCCAACCTTTCAAGATCGTGTATCACCAACACTAGAAAGGAGGCAAAGTGGTGATGTGTTCTTTATTAGCACTGCAAAATAAAGAAACTGATTTTAATAATCATTTTTTTTACAAATAACTTGCAGAAAGAAAGATTCTGAGTTTAAGACAATTGATTGTCTGAAACATCTCTACCCAGAAACAACAATTTTTAACCCTGTGCATTCATCGAACCTTGTCTTATTAGTGGTGATTTGATTGCAGTGAACAGACTTGTGACACAATTCCTCAGAGGGGCACAGGCAGTTGTTGGTAACAAGGTCACAGGAGACTCTGCTGACCTCTGAGGTGGATGGTGCATCTCAGAGGGAGGTTCTTATTCTCTCTCTCTCTCTCTCTCTCTATATATATATATATATATATATATATATATATATATATATATGTCTCTCCCCCTTCCCCATTCTG